GTGCGGCAAGATCCCTGCCCTGTCAAAAAAGTTCGAGGCCAAAAAAGCGAAATGTTGCAGCACAGTCGTCTACAACAACGCCAAAGTTGCCCGTCATGTCGCTCGAGGAGAGACTGACCAAGATTCGGGACAGCCCGAAGCTGCAAGGCCAGCAGCATGTATGTCGCATCTCCTTTTTCCACGCGTAGTCGTGTCCTAACCCAAGTTAGACCCATGTCCTGCTCGCGGCCATTGAAGACACGCTCCGCCAGCAGAAATCAGAGTTCACTCCGACGGCCTACTTCGCAGCGCTGTTGTCGCTGCTTGGCCGCCAGATTACCGAGCAAGGGATTGCGAACAAAGACACGGCGACTGCGACCATCTACCTCCTCGACCTCGTCACGCCCAACGTCCCCGCCCCACTGCTGCGGAGCAAGTTCACCGACATCCTCACCAACCTCGCGCCTGCCCTCACAGCCCAAGATGCCGATGCGCCGCTCATCCGATCTTCGATAGGATGTCTCGAGTCACTGCTGGTGGTACAGGATGCGCGCGCATGGGAGCTGCCGCAGACGACTATCAGCCCGCGCAGAGCTGTCGCAGGCCTGTTACAAATCTCTGTCGACCACAGGCCCAAGGTGAGGAAGAGGGCGCAGGAAGCACTGAAGAAGGTGCTGGCGAACCCGCCGCCGAGCCCTGCTCTAGACCACCCAGCTGCCGATATGTGCGCCGAGACGGCCCAGAAGATGCTCAAGGACATCGCGGCAGAGGCGGCAGCCAAGGCGCGCAAACACAAGGGAAAGAAGGACGTAGACAACAAGGACCCCGATTTGATACATGCGCTGCAGCTCATCAAGACGATTGCAACTTCGTCTGGAGGCTGGCCAAGCAGCAAGATCGATGTACTGTGTGAGCTGTTGCTGAACATCTCCAAGTCGACCAACGAGTTCCTGACTATGGCTGCTTTTGAGATCTTCGAGGTCATCTTCGCCGGCATGGCTGATGAACTCGCCTCTGCTAAGCTTCCCAGGCTACTCGAGGTCATCTCTGAACTACAGCCCTCCAAGAACGATTCACAACTTCTTCCTCCATGGATAGCCGTCATCTCGCGTGGATACGAAGTCTCGGCGCAAATCGAGCCCGAAGACACTTTCATGAAGCTACCCGACCTGTTCACCATGATCGCCGAGTTCCTCACGTCCTCATCGCACAACATCCGTATTTCCGCCTCCGAATGCCTCATCTCCTTCCTCGTAAACCTCGTGCCCGACAGTGTTATCCTAGAGCCCTCAATATACGATGAGAAGACACTCGAGAAAGTCGCAAAGATTGCACAGGACCTGTTGAGCGTCAAATACCAGGCTGCGTGGATGGAGGTTTTCAGCGTCTTGTCTGCCATGTTCGAGACTCTAAGGTGGCGTTCAGACCCTATTCTGAAGCCTGTGTTGAAGGTGGTTGGAGACCTGAGGGGTAACGACAGCTTTGCTGGCAAGAAAGAGGCGGATTCAGTCATCTCACGGGCCATCAGCGCAATGGGTCCCAATGTTGTGCTGGACATCCTCCCATTAAACTTGCCGCGACCACCTCCAGGACAAACCGGAAGAGTCTGGATGCTGCCACTTCTCCGCGATTCAGTCCACAACACTAAGCTGGCACATTTCAGGACCGAGATGGTGCCGCTGAGCGAAGAGCTATACCAGAAGGTTATTGATCATGGCGAAAAAGAGAAGACAATGGAAATCAAAGTGTTCGAGACGGTCGTACAGCAAATTTGGTCGATTCTTCCCGGATACTGCGACCTGCCCTTGGATCTGGTTGAGGCTTTTGACCAGAGCTTCTGCGAAATGCTAGCGAACTTGCTCTATGGCCAGGCCGACCTACGAACGGACGTTTGCCGAGCTCTTCAGAACCTGGTTGATAGCAACAAAGCAATCATAGAGCTGGAGTCTGATGATGATCTACTTGCGCAGGCTCGGATATCCAAGGCCGATGCACAGAAGAACCTCGATCACCTGGCGGGTTTTGCGAGCAACATGCTTGCAGTCCTGTTCAATGTTTACAGTCAGACCTTGCCACAGTACCGCGGAACTATTCTCAGGACTATCAATGCCTATTTGAGTATCATCCCCGAGCGCGAGCTCATGGAGACATTCGAGCGAGTTGCGTCTAACCTTGAGGCCTCACTGCCTGAGCCTGGCTCTCAGACGCAGGCAGCTAAGCAGAAGCAAGAGACAGGCCCGAACAAGATGCCACCGATGAGCCATACCCTGATGGATCTTATTATTACCATTGCCCTTTACCTCCCACGCGACAGTTACCGCTCCCTCTTCCGCATGGCAGAGATCATGATTAACAGAGAGAACGAGCCGCAGTTACAAAAGAAGGCGTACAAGCTCATTCCCCGCCTCGCGGAGTCGGAGATGGGTAAAGCCGCTCTGAAAGAGCGTAATGGTGAACTGCAACAGCTGTTGCTAGGAAGCGCGGAGAAAGCATCAACCCCAGCCCGTCGCGACAGACTTAATGCATTGTTCCAAGTCATCGAGTCTCTACCTCAAAGCGATCTGCACTTCATCCCAGCCATTCTTTCCGAGGTAGTCATCTCCGCCAAGGAGACCAACGAGAAGGCGCGCGAGGCGGCCTACAACCTGCTTGTCGCCATGGGTGAGAAGATGGCAGAAGGAGGTCAGGTCGTGCAAGCCAAGGTACCAAACATGCCGGCCGATGCGCCAACCGTCGAAGCCTCGCTTGAAGAATACTTCACGATGGTCTCGGCTGGTCTGGCTGCGACCACACCCCACATGATCTCCGCGTCTATCACCGCCGTCACTCGCATCCTCTACCAATTCCACGCCCAGATTTCCAAGGAAACCATAAAGAATCTTTGCGACCTGATGGACATCTTCCTTCAGAACCCAAACCGAGAAATTGTACGCAGTGTGCTTGGTTTCGTCAAAGTTGAGGTCATCTCACTACCAGAATCGCTTGTACGACCACGTCTGAATACCTTGCTCAAGAACTTGATGGTCTGGAGTCACGAACACAAGGCACACTTCAAGGCTAAGGTCAAGCACATCGTCGAACGAATGGTACGGAAGTTTGGCGTCGAAGAAGTAGAACGCGCCACACCCGCTGAAGATCGCAAACTTATCACCAACATCCGTAAGACACGCGAGCAGCGCAAGAAGAAGAAGCAGCAGGCTACAGAGGATGGCGAGGAGCCGACTGAGAAGCGAAAGGGCAAGTTTGAGAGCGAGTATGACCAAGCTGTGTACGGCAGTGAAAGCGAAGAGAGCGACGGCGACTCGGAGGACGAATTCGTCAAGAGCCAAAGCAAGCAACAGCGAGGCGGTGCAAAGGGCGGAAACACGTACATCATCGAAGACGAAGACGAGCCGCTTGATCTACTCTCCAAACGCGCCCTCGGAAACATCTCTTCTACCAAGCCCCTGCGTCAACGCAAACAACCACAGAAGATGAAGGCCCGCACGAATGAAGACGGCAAGCTTGTTATCGGTGAATCTGATGATGAAGTCGAGACTAAGGGCAAGAAGTCCAAGAAGCAAGACGTCGCCGAAGATGACGTCCTCATGGATATTGACGACCAAAACACATCCCTTGAAGCAGGTATCAACGCATATGTTGATGCAATTCGTGGCCGCGACACAGCCCAGGCTGGCCAGAAAGGTAGACTTAAGTTCAGCAATAAGCGCACACACGAGGATGATGAGATGGACATGGATGACGATGGTGCAGAAGCAGATTGGCAAGAGATTCGAAAAGCAAAATCCGGTTCTGGAATGGGTAGGGGCGGTGTGAAGAGTGGAGGCGCTGGCCAGAAGAGTCAGAGGAGAGGATTAGGTCAGGAACGAACAAGAGGCGGCAACGTCAGTGGTGGAGAGGGCAGAGGAGGAAAGGGTAGAGTTGAGAAGACAAAGAGTCCACGCGGTAGAGGTGGCGCTCGTGGCGGTGGCTTTAGAGGAAGGGGAAACGGCCCAAGTGGCAAGTGGAGTGGTCCCAAGTAGAATGTGACGAGAAGGCAATTACCGCAGTAGTAGGACAAAAGGGAAAGGAGGCGTTGAGGTGTAATCACGATCTTTCTGCCAATTGAATATAGATATCCCCATGTTTCAGCTTCACTCTTTTCTCAAGGAATATGGGTCCAGAAGCCAGCGACGCAACCGCGAACTCGGTCGTCGGTAACGTCAGAGTGCGAACACGATGTGGCTACCAGCATGCTTGCAGGAAACTCCATCCCGCCAGGCGGTGGAGACTGCTGTAAGACGTCGAGATTGGACACTTCCGCTGTTTTACAGGCGGCGGATCTTATTGTGTTGCCGACTACCAGTAAAGTTAGGGCGGAGCAAGGTACATCATCGGTAAGCTTTCTCCACATACCGAGCGGAATCGCGCTATTGCGGGGTCAGCAGAGTGTTGCAGCCCTACAGTGTGCTTGCTACTAGCTAGATGTGTCTCACTATTCCTTGTCAAAACACAAGCATCTTACCCTTTTTGATGACTCCAAAGAGCCTATTGGAGAACAGTGCTAATGCACATGGTAAAGATATCATAGTTGAGCAGGTATTGTTGCGCTTCCCTTTGGCGGAGCTATGCGCCCGGCATGAACTAGGATACCTGTAGTATCTCAGGCACCTTTTACACCGCGAGTCGGAGGCTTGATTGCTGTCGGAGACAAAAATCTGCCGCTTCCGACCTGATCCGAAGGCACATAGCGGAAAATGAGCTCTGCTGGCCATTCTGTAATAGGCGGAGCACTACAGGACTTGGGGTGTCGGCAGATGGGAGTGTGGAGAAAGTACGTATGGTCAGACGATGTTTTGCTATGCTTGAATGAGTAGTTCCATGGGTACATAGAGATCTACGTGTGGATAAGTGTTTACCTGGTAAGTATATAAAGGTTGCTGTGCCGCTTTACACCGAATCCTTTCTATTCTACTACTCGCCCACAGCCGTCCTTCCCGTATACTTCCACCTAAGTAGCGACCATCTTAGCATCTTCCATAATGGCGAACACGGCTGCCGTATCGCTCCCCATTCTTACACGCGATGACTCCGCTATACCTTCTTCATCTCCTGCCAAGTCAGAAACAAAAATGTCCACACTACCACGCGTCCGCCTCCCCGCCGGCGCACCGACACCATACCTCCTTCCCTCACACATGGGCGAACACATAACAATTCCTGGCACAAAAGCAGTCTTCCGAATTATGTGCTCGGCAGCCGAAACCGACGGCACCATGAGTGTCTTCGGCCAAGACGGCGTCCTAGCCGACCCTCCAGGTTTCCACTACCATAATCATGCCCACGACGTATTCATGTGCACAAAAGGCCGGTTGAAGATCTGGGCTGGAGATAAATGTCGGATTCTCTACCCAGGTGATTTCGCGTACGTTCCACCGGGCGTGGTGCACCAACCACAATTACTAGACCAAGGTCCAAATGAATCAATGGGTCTGGTAACGCCGGGAGATTGGGTTGACTTCTTCCGTTTCGTAGGAGAGGATTACCAAGGCGTACTATGCGATGAGTTCGACAATAGGAATACGGGAGCAGTATTTGGACCCAAGATACGTGAGATCAAAGAACGGTTCGATGTTGTCTTCCAACCTCAGTTCCAGGGTGCGGAGGTGGCAGATTTCGAGGAAGGAGAGTGTGTCCTGCCCGAGGATCAGGAAGCGTATTTCCTGAAAGCGAATACTGGGCCATGCTTCTTGCTTGAGGGAGTTCTGTCCAGACCGTTCATTACTATGAAGCAGAGTAAGGGACCTTCGGGTAACTTTGCTATCACTAGTATTGAGTCTGGGAGTGAGTTGGAGAACTCAGTGCTGAGCAAGGGGTTTATGTTCGAGAAGGTACACCAGGTGTATCATGTCCTAGATGGTGCGATATCGCTTACGGTGAATGGCGAGGCAGGACATTTGGTCAGGGCGGGCGAGACGGCATTTATACCAGCAGGCACAGAGGTGGCAGTCGAGTTTGTGGATAGGTATGTGAGGTTCTGGTCATATGCCAGTGGAGATGGACTAGAGACATTGATTGCAGAGGCCGGAGGCGCTTTCGAGGGAAAGATGGTGCCTGATGAGATAAGAAATGTGGATGCGGATAAGGTCCGCGAGGCCGCAAAGCAGTTGAACATCAAGGTCAGCATATAGTTCATCTTGCCATACTCTCACCTGAGCGTGGAGAGATGGGCAGGCGTTGGCTGTTTGTACCAGCGATTGGCCGCTAATGCAAGAACCCAACAAATCTGTTTGCAGAAGGAAATTTTCATATGCATGTGCTGCAGCCGAAGTCCTCATGTGTTGATACAAAGCGAGCACCTCACTCCTGGCATGCATACTCTCTGATCTACTGCGAAAGTGGAGGTGGCAGCTCTATGACTACTCCCGATCTAGCTAGCATCTTTGAGCTAGAGATAGCTTACATAAGCTCAATTCAAGGCTAGTTGATGCTACGTCAGTGTGGTCCGTGTGATTCGATACAGTACTTCTACCCTAGCACGCCAGGGTTGTACACTTATGGAAGTCGGTAACAATGACAACACACATCGCAACTGATGACAACATCTTTGCGGGAAGCGACAGCGACAGTGATCATGAGGGCGGTTACAAACCTCGCCCTCAATTACCGCAGCCGAACGTCAATATGCGAAGTTTGGCGAATCTGATCAGTACCAATTAAACCTAGATGAATAGACGCAGATAGCACTGCTAAAATTTGTCAGAGGAACTCGACAGCGGCGTCATTGACGTTGATCCAGAATATCAACGTGAAGTTGTCTGGACAGGTAAGCACATCCAGTTTGGTCATCACAGAAGCACACTGACAGTGGTAGCCGAGCGTATGACAGGTCTGATCAATTCTTTGATGGGTATAGTTTCCAAGCAACGTCAAAGCCAGATCAGCTTGCTAACGATCGTATAGAGAACTATTACATCCCGCCCATCATTCTGAATAAGAAGCGGAGTGCTGGCACGGATGGTAGTACACCACGCGATACTCTTGTTTGTGTGGATGGCAAGCAGCGTCTGTCTTCTATTAGGGCATTCGTAAAGGGTATGATTCCTTGCCATGATCATAAAGGCGAGAGATGGTAGACAGCCCAAACATTGTCCTACAGTGACTCACTGACAGTCTTAGGTGGTTTTGCAAGACTCCTGGCACCAAACACAAGAGAGTGCTCTCTTTGGAAGCGCAAAAGATGTTCTTGGACAAAGATTTTGTCGCCTTCCAATTCACAGATCTTACTCAGGAACAAGAAGAAGATCTTTTTGCTAGAGTGCAGATGGGTGTTCAACTTACAGTGGCCGAGAAGATGCGCGCGAAGCAGGGCCCATGGCAAGAGTTGGCGAAACTTTTCGTCGATGATTTTCCGGCTATCTACGCCTTGATGAAGGATCGAGCCCGAGCAAAAGACTTTCAAATCACCTTGTCCTGCTTTAGCCAAATCATCGAAGTCAAGCATCCCACTGCTGCAAATGGTCTACCAGTTCTAAAGACGAACTACAACGCACTACCCAAACTATTGAGCAACACTGGTGCTGTAGATGATGCTATCAAATCACATCTTGCGAGCGTCTGGACTACTCTAAGAGAACTTATAGAGCGAGATTCAGACACTTTTACAAATGCTGACAAGCATCTGAGTGGTGTGCAAACGTTCGCGCCCATCGAGATGGTAGCAGCAACCGTTCTTATCTCGATGTACTCGGAAACACGTACCAACGAACTACTGCTTGGAGATATCAGAACTCTTCGAAAGGCGCTTCGTGAGAAGTTCAAGGATCTTCGCTTGAATACGACGGTTTGGAAATTTGTCTGGGACTTCGTCGAAAACCTGGAGGCCATCCGAGGCGCGGTAGATGGCACTACGGTGGATCGAAACCAGCAGGATCAGGCCTCAAAGTTGATGTCTTCTGGCGCCGCGAAAGCAACAGCAACCGTGTCTTCGCCACCTTACCTTGCAAGAAAAAGAGCAACTGCGAAAAAACAAGTCTCCACCTTGCCACCGCGGAGTCCAGTGAAAGTGAAGGAGGAGTCACAATCACACATCGCTACGTCAAAACGAAAGCGAACTGGTCCTGCACCTGCTTCCCTGGCTCCAGCCTCATACTTGTCGAATGTAGCTCCCCAAGCATACCACCAACACCACATACCTCCAACGCAATTGCAAGATCCACAGAAGTCCAACGTGCACACACCTTTCACAACAGAGCCTGAGGACCTGCAGGTCCTAAAGACTGGCATCTCAGGATCTGGCGACTATCGTACACCAATAGCTCCTATGCAGCAGTCAACACAACTCTGTTCAATACCCAATCATATTGCTGAGATGGCCCAAGGCTCACACAACGCTTTCGCGATATCACAACCTCCAAATGTGATATCATATCATCCTACAAGTCGCGGTGCGTTTGCGCCAACTCACACAGACAAGCAGTGGGAGGGCGTCATCGCATCCCCAGCTAAGGCTCCAGTCGCGCCAATTTCAAATCAGCCGAAGCGAAAAAGCGTTACACGCCCTACTCCTGCCCAGTACAAAGAGGACATCGATCTGACAATTGACAACGAGCTCGAAGGTGAACGACAGAATCTTCTATCCTCTTTCAAGGCCAAACCTATTTCTGCAAAGCAACCTTCTGCTCCAGCCATGCCCGCAGCAAAAGCATCCACTGCTCCGACGCGTCGTGATTACGTGGTAGTGCATGATATTGATTCCGACGAAGAACTGGCAACTGCAAATAACCCTTATGAGAAATTCCAGAGTAATCCTAGAGCAGGACTTTCTAGCTCGAGGGGAGGATAATGGCGTAGGGACCGCATCAACAGAGCAGGTCTGGGGGCATTTTCATTTATTTTGGCTTACATCTTAGACTTCTAGCATAGTGATAGCCCATTTGAAGTATATTTATGAACATGTTGTCTACCTATATCTCTTACTATTGGCGTGCATGCTGGGAAGCCGTAAGCACTAGCTGGTACCTACCCACTGTGTAGTAAGCACCTCACGACATAACATACTCGCGCTGGTAACCCGCACGTTGCATCCACATCGCCTTCACGCGTGGATATCAAATTATGAATCACTTTCGACTTGTAGACAGGACCCAAAGGGTTAACGAGACGCGTCCGATGAAAGACGTCATAGCGCGCTTTCGACCTCGGCATTTTCGCGACAAAAGCACCGCGAACGGACCGCTCCGTCAACTGGTACGTACGTAGTAGGCCAACTATGCTCCCGATCCCAGTGGGAGGCGACCAACAGGATATCCACGGAGTCTGAGACTACATCTCTATCGAACGAACAGCCACAACAAAGTACGCGTCCCGGACCAACGTGAAGGGGCATCTTCTATATCTTGTGCCATATCGCAGACCGTCTGTTTGCGCTGCTGTTGAACGGATACAACTTCGTCATACTCGCATCTTGTGAGAAAACAAAGCGCATCAACATGGGGAAGTCTTTCGACCCATCCAAGGATATTGGGAGCCTAGAGGGGAAGGTCATCTTGGTCACGGGTGGTACGTATCTCCCAATGTCTACCAAGCGCTGTCATACCATTGTTCTGACTTACGAGCAGGTAACGCTGGGCTAGGCAAACAAACCATTGCATACCTCGCTGCCCATAACCCTACGCGCATATACCTCGCCGCTCGTACCGAGTCCAAAGCCCGCGACGCTATCACCGACATCAAGACCAGCGTCCCGAATGCCTGCGAAATCGTGCATCTACCACTCGATCTGACATCCTTCTCTTCCATCGCAGACGCAGCATCGACGTTCAAGAGCCAGGAATCGCGACTTGATCTACTCGTTAACAATGCTGGTATCATGGCGTCCCCATATAGCACGACCAAAGAGGGTTATGAGATACAATTCGGCACCAACCACATGGGCCACGCGCTGCTCACAAAGCTCCTTATCCCGACAATGCTAGATACGGCAAAGCAATCCGGCGCCGATGTCAGGATCGTGAACCTGAGCAGCATGGGCGAACGTCTTGCCGTATCCAAAGGCATTGAATTCGACCAAAGAGCGCTCGAGAAGGAAAACACATGGCGTCGCTATGGCGCCTCGAAATTAGCGAACATACTCTTCGCTCGCTCCCTTGCCCTCGAATACCCTACGATAACATCTGTGTCTCTACACCCTGGTGTTATTCTGACAGACCTCTTCAACAACCTGCGCTCGAACGTATTCTTGAAGGTCGGGCTATGGATATATGGACTAGTGGGCATGATACTGCCGGGTCATTACCAGGGCCCTGAAGGTGGCGCGTTGAACACGACATGGTGTGCCACAACTGCAAAGGACCATCTGGAGAATGGCGCGTTTTACATGCCTGTAGGAAAGAAGGGCTCGGGAAGTGGACACGCGAGAGATGAGGGGCTGCGGAAGAAGTTGTGGGAGTGGACTGAGGAGGAGTTGAAGAAGCACGGGTATTGATCTCGAATGTCTTTCAGGTTAACTGAGTACAAGGAAGGAGATGGGAACTATGCCTGCTTGCGATAATACTCTACATTTCTAGCTTATATTATCACAAATGAAGACCAACATCCACGGCTCAGACTGGTTCCGACCGCAGCCTAGGCAACGGTGGTAACTGTTTCCCGCTAGTGATCTCGACTTTGAAGTCTTTCTGAACGTTAACCTGAATGCCATCGCCACTTGGTCGCTTGTTGACAATACGCTTCTGGCTTCCGTCATCACGTTCAGAGCTTATATTGCTGATTTCATCCAAGTCACCTGAAAGTTGGAGTAAGATGTCAGTAGGCGTCTCACACGCAGTTTGTCCGGTGACCTTACTAACCATAGATTTTTGTCTCGACACCCACATCCTTGGATTTATTGCCCAGATGGTTGTTCAGTCCAGTGCTCTCTGGTCGCTCGTCAAGCTCCATCCAGTGTTTCGATGCGGGATCGCCACCACGCAGTGAGCCACGGGCATATGGCTTCTTCGACGAGCCATAATTGCGTGAAGCTCCAGACCGGCTTCGGAACGAAGACGAAAAGTGCGAGATGAGGTTGGTGAGTATGGGACGGCAGGCGGGCAGGTTGGCGACAAACATGCCGACATTCATCTCGGCGCAAGCCCAGGCGAGGATCTCGCCGAGATTCTGTAGAAGCCTGTTCGGATCGTTCAAGCCAATGAGAAACTTAAGACGCACGATTGGAGCAATTGAGGCGCTGTCGTGTATATGTCAGTGGCATGGTCAGGTAGCACTGTTGCGCAAAATTGCAAATCCACTTACAAGACTCCTAGACCAAGCATGGCTATCACGGAGCTTTTGACTCGCCAGTCTAGTTGTACATCCCAAAGTAGGAATATGGGTAGAGTCGCAAAGATCCAGTCCGTTGATATCGACACCACGGCGACGGCGTACGAAAGTGCCGTCTGAATAGTGCGCTCTTTACATGCCCCTGGCATATTAACATACCAGTTCTTTCTGTCTCTTCGTTAGCTTCCAGCGTTTTCAAAACGAGAACCGCAAAACATACTGTACGGGCGAGCATTGGAAGAAAAGGTACATTCCCGTCCCGCCCATAATGATCGCACAAGACAACATGCATGTGTAGATGACCATCTCGATCCATTTCTTGCCGCTTGCGATTCGAATCAAGGCAAATCCGATGCTGCACTTGATCGCGATGAGAGTGAAGCACCACGGCTCTTGGAAAATGTAGAACCACTTTTCGTTGTTAATTCGTCTTCTCAATAACAAGTCTGGTCGAGGCGAGTGAAGACTGCGACATACCATTAAAGAATTAGAGTATTGATACTCGCTCAAAGAGCCATCGTACTGACCAACGCCACTCCAAGCCATAGCGATTGTGGCTATGGTACTCACCGACCAGAACGGCTAGGCTGATGTCAGTAGATGCTGAGCCTTGATATCCGTAATGCTCACCAAGTTGATCAACATAGCCCAGTCATCTGGTCCCCATGCTTTCCTTTTGTAACGGATCCAGAACCGTAAGATGGTCGATACGATGTCGAATGGTAATGGGATCAAGACCGCTAGGGCCATATCGCGAGATGTCGGTGGCGCCATGGCCTTGCTTGACCTTCAGGAAAGACTGAATCGAAGAGAAGGACAATAAGGTTCACCGAATCCACGCAGCGCAAGCACCGGGCATGCAGAACAATAAGAAGTACACAACAAAAGCTGGAGAAAGGAGCGCCACTGGCTCATCCACAGAACGCTCGCCCCCCAGCCTTTCAACACCCCGGATTAGGCTGTGATCGTCGCGGCTCCGAATCTCTGGGACACGATGACCGCTTGAGGCCGTGCAAGTTTGATATTAATAACGGTAACGGGGCGGTAGAGCGGCAGAGGCTTCTTAGTACCGGGACTGTCGTCCGCCTGCAGTAGTTCCCGGTTCGACACATGTCCGATGCTTTTGGATCTATTGATGCTCAGGAAACACACTCTCCACAGCAATCTCATATCGTACCAGCCTCGGAGAGCTAATTCGCTGGAGCTCTATATTGTTGAGCGTGATATGGTCCATGGATTTGTTCTTTGAGTGGTCGAGCATTGTCTGGATGGTGCTCCCATATCATTTCCGAACGAACTGATGCATTTTCAAGACCGAGTCCAGACTTTTGTGCAAGGCGGTGGACCGGAAAAACCCTCCTACGTATGTGCTGCAGTCCTGTTTCAAGAATTGTCCTGTACAAGGATTTGTACATCGCCAAGTGCTTTATGGACGGGGATGTGGTGGAGAACTGCCTGATGTTGGTGAGCGTCCAGGTCCGTTGAACGAATCCACACCCCCACGCACGCTGCTGTCAGGAAGAATGTGACTTCCAACGATACGGAAAGACTCTCGCGTTAGTTCCTGTAGCCCCTCAATCACCTGAAAACGCCAACACAGATACCATCGCAATACTGCCTCGATTGATATAGTCTTCTGATGCTCGGTATAGTTGTGCACGTCAGGCGCTACTTCGGGAAATTTAGTGTAAGACCCACATCATGAAATAAGAGTCTCCACTACCAGGCATTCCTACACAGACCCTAGAGTTTGAAGAAGTCAAGGGTTCCCCGCGCTACCGGTATCGCGCAAGCGGTGGGCGTTGTACACGTACTTCGTCCTTGGATACTTGAATAGGTCGCATACCCGTGATACATACCATAGAACTTAGAAGGTCCAATTATGTCACCACCTAGAGTCTTCGAAGGCAAGCTTGCCATCATTACTGGCGCTTCGCGAAGTACGTCCTATCATGAAATGATACTCCTCTCCTGAGCAATGTGAATACATACCAGTGAATGGGAAACTGACTTACGTCTAGGCTTCGGCGCCGCACTTGCCACACACTTCGCCTCGCGCGGTGCTAACGTTGTGATCAACTATGCAACATCGAGCTCCGACAAGATCGCAGCGGAGTTGGCAAATCATCTCTCCACAACATACAATATCACCGCACTACCCGTACGCGCCGATCTCCTCGACCCTTCCGCTCCCGCGACCATCGTCAATGCGGCAAAGGCTGTTTTCACGAACCCCACAGCCACACCCTCGTTCCAGATCGATATACTGATCAACAATGCTGCGGTCGTGAATGCGCAACCTATCCAAGAACTTGACGTAGAGCTATGGGACCAAACCTTCAATATCAACTGCAAAGCTCCTGCGCTTCTCATCAAAGCCGCATTTCCCTACCTTCCACACGACAGGTCTGGTAGGATCGTCAACATTTCTTCCGCGACTACGACATGGGGTCTGATCCAACAGACGTCCTATGCCGGCACAAAAGGTGCGATAGAGGCTATGACGCGTGTTTGGGCGCGTGAACTCGCTGAGCGCGCAACTGTCAACAGTGTGAGCCCTGGTCCTATGGATACGGGTCTTTTGAACGGGCTGCCGGAGGCGCCGAAGCAAGCGTTAAGAATGTACAACGCATTGATCCCGCTAGCAAAAGAAAGACCAGGAGTGGACAGCGAAGAAACTCTGAGATTAGCGGACGAGATTGGTGGTAGGCCGGGTACGCTCGAGGAGGTGGCAGGTATCGTAGGTATCGCCTGTTTGCCTGAAAGTGGTTGGATGACGGGCAATCAGCTAGGCGCGAGCGGAGGTGGTGCTTTCGTTAGATGAGAATATTCTCTTTGAATATGCGCGTAGCTGCAGGCAGCAAACTATATTGAGTACGGTTCCTTAATTCCTTTTCTAAGGCGTAGTAATGATTGTGACACGAGAAGTCGAGTGCTCTAGTCAGCTACACGATGCCAAGCTTTCTCTAGCGCCTCGTAGCGGAGATAGCATGCCATGCAACAGCAAGCGACATCCGGCTTTCGTGGTCATCATCGCCTGACAACATGACATCTTCATCTCGCTAAGAAGAATCTGTGGCACCCAGGACTCTGATACGACAACACATAAAATCTATAGTGGGGTATTCGTTGCAAGCACTCCAAGTGCGCGATGCGATGAGCGTGCTTGGCGCTTCCTTCGGCAACTGAAATCTGCCGCCTTCCTTGCTCCTGCAGCAACGATTTTCGCCTCACTTATCGCATGTCTACGGCACGGCAGACGGGCTCAGACACATACCTGACGATGAACACAGCCTCAGTTTGGTGTACATGATCCAGTCGGAAAATTTGATGAAAAGCGTCAGGTGAATTGGGACAGAAGCAGGTATCGCCTGCTTACCCGAGAGTGGTTGGATGACGGGAATCAATTAGGTGCAAGCGAAGGTGGTCGTTTCGTTAAGACTGCGATTGAGTTGGCACTCACGTCATCCTGAACATCATCTAGGGTGAGAGTGGCGCTTTCGTCTTCAATTTCGAATGATTTATGCCAGCCATCTAACTCACACTTATATCTTTGGTCACCAGAATATCCTTCGAGTGGCTCACACAACTATGAATGGTTGGCATGACACTCTCAGAATTATGCGCTTCGTCAACACGCCAGGAACGCGCATCGTGACCTTCCGGCGGTCGTGATGAGACCCTGACCGTCGTTTCGCATCCAGCCTTATATTGCCCTAACTCGAGTACTTCGCCAAACTCATCTGTTTGCTTCGCATATCCTAACAATCCAGGTTCTCGGAAGCTGAATCGTGGTGTTGTGGTAGACTGACTCTGTACGGCTGATCGCGCAGCTTCAAGAAAGCGATTGAACAGAGGCCTGAGCGTAGGCAAAGAGGCGGCCAAAATACCGACATCAAGCTCGATGAAGTTCCACATGGAGAATGTGTCATGCACGAAGCGTTCGGGGTCGTTCAAAATGGTTTTGCTTACATGGGCCTTCATTATCCCAGCAACAGATGCAAATATACCGAGCGAGAGGACGAGAGCGAGCATAATTTTGATGCGGATTCGAACTTGAAGACTGAATATGACCGGAATAGGCAGGAGGGCGAGCAAGAAGTCGGTAGCGATGTTGACGACTATAGAAAATTAGCAAAGGTTCATACGGCTCTGGTGTAGAAGACTTACTTGAGTTGAAAAGAGCAATCTGACTAAAGGTACTAACACTTAGACATAACGCGCAGCCTGTGCCCATGGGTGGCGGACGAAGCCTAAAATCCCATATAGCTGCTACTGGGAGGCACATAAAAACCTGGAAGTGGCAACTTGTTAGTGCTCTTCAATTCCCTGAGGAGTGGTGTGCTCCTTCATATGCTGTTCTTGGTAGAAAAAGAACTTACTGCAAGGCTGTCAGTTTGTTCTGTGGCTTGTCAGGGAGAGAACATACCAAGCGTTCCAGTACAAGCAATAATGAAAGCAACCAGAAACACGATCAGACTATACAGGAAGTACACATGACTCTTTTGTACAGCTAACCTCAGAAGCATGTAGCTCACAGAAATCTTGACCACTGTCACACCTGCAGTGACACAGATCTGATGAACCAAGCGGACTTTGAGTAGTTGTCGATATCTAGGTTGATCCATCTGTATGACGGCAAGATGTTTCCCAAGGCCTAAGGGCACTTCCGCAACATAACAACCAAAAGCTATAGTTGATAAGATCTTTGTAATGCATAGTCAGCAGTGTGTCATAGATAGAACGTTCGAGCAGTTCCGCGCACCATAGAGACTATGATGGTCCAATCATCCTTGCCGAAGGATTTGAGCATGACCAGGCGTACATAGCAGCGTAGTAGAGTTATTATCAAAGCGATCCCAAAAACGGTACCTGCCTGGACCATTAGACTCGAGGCATTGCTGTACGCAATATCTGCATCTGAGATGGGGGGGGGAGGTTGCTCATGATGATAGGGGGAAGAAAACACTAGTGTATGGGCTACAAAACAAGAAAGATAAATGCGTAACCAGCCCGGTATACGCAGACGTGTAGCAGACCATATGTACCACGACTTGGGCGTGGCACAGCACCTCGCGCAGGATGAAGATGGTGGCCAATCCGCGTAACATATTAGCCTTCCTCTTGTAATGTTATCACAAGGTGCTCTTTCGCTACTCGGCAGGAAACAGTGTATTTAGTCCCTTGAATCTTCGAAATCCTGCTGTAGAGAACCGGGCGTGTGGCGTGGATCTTGAGATCCCCTGATAGGACATTTGGTGTATTCACTGTGGAATACATATCGGTGATCTGCCAATCACAGGCCTTGTGCAGGAATGACTACCTTGCCGTGAGGTGGTCTGTATGATCTAAGCGACCCGTCTCGGATTATCATACCAGCTTTCGCTACCGACTAGATTCGCACGGTAAGCAGTAGGATGTGCAAGGACAGATACCTCAGCTGTAGGCGAGAGAGCGCGAGAGAAATATCACACAGCCAAGCTACTACCCAACCTCGGCCAGCTCTGACGTGATGAGCTATCTAATTACCTGAGTAAATTTCCCGCAATTACGACGAGTCCTCCCGCGTGTAGCAGTAGCCACAGTATGTTTGTCTCATCCATCCTTCCAAAATCATATTATACAGCGGAGATCATTGTCTCTTTGCGATATTGCAGATGAACCACCGGCAGATTATAGACGCCAGCTGGGCAAAGGGCGCCCCTTGCAGACGAACGCCACTTGCTGCAGAAACGTCTCTCGGTTCGTTTCTTGTATGCGTGCTTGCGACACAGCAACCATCTCGGATGAGCTTCCACGAGTGACCACAACGAAAACTTGCGGCTGGGAAATTGCTGTAAAACTACCTGGATACATCCCATGGTGCAACATAACGAGTGTCAAGAGGAGAGTGCAAAAGACCCAAGCGTCCTTGCTACAACATTCTCCTGGGATGATGTGGCGTAACCGTCCCTCATCATATCTGATATTCTTACATGGCGCCGTTCATGGGAAACTGCGCCACGGAACGTCCCACAACGTCCCACCTACCCGATCCGCCCCCGAACGCTATCGCATTTAGACGGCGCCACCAAGGTCTTGGGCCTGTCCCCAACCGCGGTGATATACCTCCGAGCCGTTAGTTCCTGTACAGGGAACACTACTGCTAGAGAATCCACAGGGATTCGAGAGGGCAACTTTTGCTCCTCTAGGGCTTCTCGAGATCAAAACAGCTGACGGCTAATGCGTAAGTTCCAAGGCTACCTACATAGCTTTAACCTCCACTGGAAAGCTGTACGTACAAGTCTAAGATCTAGAAAGGACACTGACTCGCTGCGAACATAAAGTCGGTCAGCTCGAACGTTATGTTTATGTCTGTCGGTACCACAACATCCAGGAAAGACGTTATCCAGTACCTTGTCATCCGTGCCTCTTAACATGAAGGCTACAACTTTGGCATTAGCTGTATTCTGTGGTGGCACTAGTGCCGCTATTTTAAGAAACGACGCCCTTGCTGCTCAAGCACTGGCAAAACTCTCGCTCAATGTGGCTCAACATGGATACCCAGACGCGGGAAAGTGCACATTGAAGAATGTTGCTGTTCGACAAGAATGGTAAGCAGTACAATCAGTCTGTCCGAAACGGCTCAACTTATGCAAGTTCAGGTCAACTTTATCGGAAAGTCAGAAGCTCAACTACATCGATGCAGTCAAGTGTCTGGGCAAGAAACCGGCAAAAACACCGGCAGCAATAGCTTCAGGTGCAAGGAGCCGGTTTGATGACTTCATTGTTACCCACATTCTGCAAACGATGAGTATTCATGGAACGGTACGTCGGTCAGGTACGACCATATGCACGTGGCTGATGTGCTCAGGGAAACTTCCTCAGCTGGCACCGCTACTACATCTGGGCTTACGAACAAGCTCTACGCAACGAGTGCGGATACAAGGGCTATCTCCCGTACAACAACTGGTCAAGATGGGCAAAGGATCCGCTCGCATCGCCCCTCTTCGACGGCAGCAAGACCAGCATTTCGGGTGACGGAGAGTACGTCGCTGGACGAGGATCTTGGTGCCTACCGAACGAGGTGCGCTGCATGGTCACCTTCCACTCGGCGAACGGTGGAGGCTGCATCAAGTCTGGCCCGTTCAAAGAGTATGTTCCCCTGATCCGAATCAGAATGGCAGCGGGCTAACACAAGCAGTTGGAAAATCAATTTAGGTCCCATACAAACGACCGCGAAGGGTGTACCACCAAACCCACAAGCCGATGGTCTGGGCTACAACCCTCGTTGTCTTAGTCGTGATATCAATTCTCAGGCCTCCAACGAGACACGAGACGAGATGGTTGTCGACCTTATTACGAACTACCCTGACATCCTTAGCTTCCAGAACAAGATGCAGAACTTCACCCTAGGAGTCATGGGCGTCCACAAGTAAGTTCTGCCTACACTAAATGCATGTGAGACATAAACTGACTTCGTATTTCCAAATCTGCAGTGGAGGTCATTACACTATTGGCGGTGACTCTGGAATGGATATGTATGTTACAACCGGCTTTGTTTACCTTATTCCTATCCTTGGATTATTCTTCGTCTTCAGCATAGATCATATATTGACCACACCGCAGGTTCAACTCACCAGCAGATCCATCTTTCTATTTCCATCACGCCATGATCGATCGAGTATGGTGGACGTGGCAAGCCCTGGATCTAAGAAACAGGCCGAATACTATTGCCGGAACCATGACTTTCCTGAACAACCCGCCAAGCCGTAATGCTACTCTTGACGATGTCCTGAGTGTAGGATATGTTGGCAAACCAAATATCACCATCAAAGACGCACAGAGCACGATCGCGGGGCCGTTCTGCTATGTGTATGCTTAGTCTTGAAGTCCTGATATGCAATGTCGTTTTTGTTAAGCTGTACCCTAAGAACGAAAGCCCACCTTAAAGGTACATATTGTTACTTTCGCTATGAATTTTCAATGCGGAATACAATGTATACTTTCAGGGTGTGGTATGAGCGAGGTAAAACCTAGAATACAAGCTCTTTCCGTCCTACACTTCTCTTTTTTGATGCAGGAAAGTGATCCGCTCTGCAGCGTCACCGTCCAGCCCACACAACTCGTTGAAGTTTCCGACTTCTTCTCCCCTTTTCCTTGTTCGGGCGGCAAATTCTGCTAGTGGACAACTCTTTCCGGGGCCACTGTCGCAGCCCGGGATAGCGGTGATACCGTCGTTGATGTTGAGTCTGACAAACTTGCCAGGCGAAGATTGAGTATCTGTCTTGCAGGAAAGTAGTTCGAAGATGATACGTCCATGCATAGGCGCTAAGAGTGGGTATACGAAGTCAGTATAGGTCTCACATGTAGTTCGGAGGGTGACACTTACAAACCTGAGACTTTCGCCATTTACGGTCGTGGGCGATGTGCGTAATGGGCAGATGTTCTTCGTCGTTGATGACATCAAGCGCACACATGAGTGGTGCGATATCACCGTCGTGATTGCTGTCTATGATCAGCTTATGTAGATACGAGTCGGTATAATAGAGGCTTACAAGCTGAAGAACAACGGACCAGCGTCCGGCCCCTCAACCAGCAAATTCGTCGTCGCGTTTAGCCACAGCCACCCCATACTTGCTGCATACTTCTGGCCTGGACCTAAAGTTGGGTGTATGAAGTTAGTGCGTGCCGCATGTATGTTGTACAGGAGACAATACTAACCTGCACGGTAGTAATGCAGAACGTCTCGTGCGTACTCAAAACTGAGGAATTCGTCCTGAGTGAAAACGTCACACCAGTCGCTGCGACCGCGTACTGTAATCTCAAACCCACACATCTCTTGCATGGCATAGATTTCGTGATCCTCGAAGTACATGTCCGTCTGCTTGGCTAGACGTTCGCGAATGGCAGGCATGTAGCTTGCCCGGTACTCATTCAACAGACGATACCCTTTTCGCTGGCCTTCCATCTCGTCTTTTTTGTTGGCTAAACATGTTCGTCCAGGTGTCAACGTATCGGCACCGAGTGAGGAATGTTCGGAAATGACTTGTAGGATAGCTTTGTTGGTGATATTGTAATCGATGCCGAAGAAACCTGCAGCAAAGTGCTTAGCTGTCTCAATGACACGGTTGGAATCACTAGCCCAGAACTTGGTGGGATGTTTTTCAAGAGAGGTACGTTCCAGAAGATGTTGGTATCGGGTGCGCAGACGAACACCAGTAGTGAAAGAACTGAGTGTCCCAGCAAAGATGCCGGTGGATGTGAGCTGCTCTAGATGGGTATCATCCGAAGACCAAAAGAGTTCCCAGTCGTTGAAGAACGCCAGGTTACCTGTGAAAACCCTCCCACTTTCTTTCATACGGTGCACGACTGCTTTCTGGGTACTGCCAGCTTTCATCGTAGGATAACGCTCAGCATGCCGAGACATCATATGGACCTGTTCCACCTCACACCCGTTCGGTAGTTTGATACCTCCATCAACAACATCGATAACCTTCTCTACCCACGGTCCATTGCCCCCAAGGTGGTATAGGATATTCCAATCTTTCGTTACCGCTCCTGCACCAAGACCAGAATTGGCTGCTGTGACGTCGCCTGTATCAGGATGAAACCATGTCGTCCAGCTCGAATGATGAGGTTTTTCGGCGCAATCATGGCCAGGATAATCAGAATGAGTGCTCGAAGCGGCCGATTGGCATGATGGACGACACGGCATTAGACCGAGCGCAGCGAGAAGTATGGACTGGTCATAGCTGTACGTGACTGCTACTATAGCTATAATGACAGCTATCAAAAGGTGCCATGGCATAGACATGGTGGCTTCGAAAATGAAGATGACGCGTGTTTAGAGGTCGAGGATACTCATCTTCGTCGTTGTCGTTGGACGATAACGCGGCGGTGAGAACTCAAACGCTCGTTCCTGCCCAAGAGTGGGTCAAACTTCTTGCATCACAGGTTCATGCCTGCTGAGCATACGCGCACACATGATAGAAAGTGGTAGTCGTGGTTGCCCGGCTGAGGTATGGTCTGCAACGCTCCGTCTGTCCTGCACACAGGGTTGCGTGCAGAACGCAAATGACGATGCAGGGCGCGTGGTGGTCTGGGCCTCGGCATGTCGATCGTTCTCCGCGATCGCGTCCTACGCGTCACTTCACCATTGACCACCCATCGGCTTTGCAACCAGTAAGTCTCCCACGACTTATTCTCGGCTTGCGCTGCAGTCAACTAGCGCTTCATGAGTCTCAGCTTGGATATCGTGAATACAGCACTTCTGGCACTTCACTATGTTTATACATAATATCCTGCATGTCATAGGTCAGATCGGTGTCGCGACCACCACATATTCGCAAATATATCAATCACTTCATAACATGCTTGTTACCTTTCAGTTTTTACGTTTAAGTGTTTTCAAGCGGACATGTAGTTGAATGTCCTGGTAGCAGTTTTGGGATATTTAATTTGAATATAGTTTTCCGTCTGCCTGCTCTCCTTTGACGCCTAAGAACTGTAGAACAAGAAGAGAGTATGGAGTTGATTGTTCCATGTACGAAGGAGAAATCCCTTGTTTATATAGAGAGGAGAGAGTACGCCGGTGCGTGAATGTGAGTGAATCACGTGGGAGGACGCAAACCAACAAGAACGAGAAATGTAGAATGTCGATATTTTTAGTGCTGTGTAGCTAGCTGTAAGATGGAAAGCAAAAACCGCTTCGTTTATGAGAAGACATACGGTAAATTGCAAAGTACATACCGACTTGACCGGAATGAGATGACATCAAATAGCTTAGTCGTCATACAGCGAGTCGTGGTCATCGTCCTCCTGAGCAGTCTGGCCAGCGGCGAACTGCTCATGAAATTGGTCTTCTTCTTCGTCCATGGAGTGATGCTCTTGAATCTCTCGATCTTGCGCCTCCGGCTGTTCTGCAATGCCTTGTGGATCGATTACCTCGTCGCCTTGGTTGATACCGTCCTCCTTTTCATTTTCATCGTCATCAGGCTCTTCAATGTCGCTGATAGCAAAGACTCGCAAAGCCTTGGCCTTTTCAGTAAGCTTGACGCCGATATCTCCCAGATATTGCGGCTGCTGAACGTCGAGCATGCCCTTGGAGCTGAGTCCAAGCACCATCATGAAACCCTGACAAGCGATAATCTTGGTGTTCTCAGTAGGCGGGAGGAGCTCCTCAAAAGTGATGTCTTCAACGTCAGCAGCTGCTTCAGTTCCAAGCACATCAGACATATGTTCTGGATGTGTTTGAACTCCCTCGCGCTTCTCGACAATGCGTTCGTTGACGAAGGTAAGAAAGTTCTCACCTTCTGTTGATAGAGCTTCGCGAATGCGTGCGGATGGTTCTCGAATCACTGGCTCAGGATAGTCCGAGCTGGGGCCTGGTAGGCAAAATTCGTCACCACCGTAATCGACATCGCTCGTGAGGTTCCTCAATCCCCCAAAGGTAATGGGATTCCCACGACCCTGTAGAGGAGAAGCAGAGACAAGGCGACTTCCGGGTCTACCCTGGGTAGCAGAGTGCATGACATCCACGCGTCCGTTCCGGGGTATGGCTGAAGAACCCCAGATGGAAGCACTCACGTTCCATGGCATCGCAGAGAAGATCTGCTGATCATCAAGAGCGGACACACCTTCACGAGGTAATTCGACAGCGATGTCATCGTCGCCAAGTATGGGAAGATCCTCGTTGTCAGCTGAACGACCGATCTCGGGTTCACCGGTTTTTTGACGCACGCGACGAGATTCTTCTTGAGTAGCATCATCAATACCACTATCGCGATCGTGCTTTGCTCCAGCTGTCTTGTTGCGAGTTAAGCCAGTGATAGACTCAAAGAGGTTGTCCCCGATGAACATGTCGAACGGACTAGGGCCTTGGCCACCGAGGATGCGTTGACCAATACCACCGATACCAGACCCCCAGACATAGTGCTCAGCATTCTTCTTGGCTTGGGCAGCAATGTGGCTCTTGGTCTTCTTTTGAGCGGCGGCCTTCATGTTCTGACGGTAGTTCTTTGTCCAATCTGCCAACTCCTTATTACGAAGCTCAATGGCTGAGTCGGTAGGAACAATCCGTGGAACTCGGCGTCGGTGCATGGGCGCGGCGAACGTGTCAGAAGATTCGACAACTTCCGAATGTGCACTGGACTGCTGCTGACCGGCTGAGGAGAATGCCTTGCCTTCAGCCACATCGTCGTCGTATATCGGGAATTCCATGTCGGCTTGATCACCAGGAAACTGGTATGTGTCAGTCTCCATCTTGAAAGACAAAGGTAGCGAGACATGTAACGATGATCAAAAGCGAAAGTTGTGAGAGGGTAGAGGAGATTCGGAGAGAGAAGAGGTGCAGACCACAAGGCAAACAAGGACGTCTTCATGCGCCCGAGTGGGCTCGGGTGGCAGCAGTGAGGTTGTGCGTCGCTGTATCCTGAGCCCAGGTAAGGGCAGCGAGGCCAGACCGCAAGACCAGTGGCTGATATCGCGATGCGAAAAGATATGAAAGAGCGCAGTATAACTTACCTGATTACCAGCCCAATGTCCCTTCATGTGCTCCTCCGGAGCCCACGCGCTCGTTCTAGCATCGCTAGACATCGTCGCGCCTGGGGTTCTAGCTGTGATTCTATCCACCGAACGCCGTGGTGAGAACTGAATGATCTCGCCGTCATCTGCGAACATGAAATCTGGATCTTCGATCTCTATCGTGTTGCGAGAATCCATGACACTTGGCACACCACCACTGCTCATTCCATCGTCGCCTTCGAGTCTAAACTCGCCTGCCACAACAGGAGACGATGTAGGCAAGATGAGTCTACCAATAGCACTAGCATGGGAGGTAGATAGTGATCGCTGGGAGCCGAATGGAGTCAGTGATTGGGAGTCTCCAGAGCGCGTAATGTCGAGATTGAAGTTGTGGTCTAGCTCTGAAAGCAAATTTGGAGGGAGGAGCGCGAGCTCGGGAAGAAAAGATGGATCATCCTCGAAGATGAGCTGCTCTGGTCTGTAAAATCTTGGTGAGCGAAGAGCTCAGGGTGCAATCATGGTGTTTGCTTACCTGGCTTTGCCAGCATCTGGATCAAGTGCAGTGTCCTTGACTGTGCGTAGCATCAGCCGCAGCGTATTATGCGCTTGCTCCGCGTCTGAAAGGATATATCCACATTGTTGTAGGTATACGCGTGATACACCATATCTGCATGCATTAGTGGATTGTTCTCTAGAGGAGGCATGTTGGTGTAACGTACAGCAGATTGCTCTGCAGGCGCAGAGCCATTGGCGCCACAGGATCGACGATGGTCTGGCATGCTTTGGATACGTCAACCTCGAGGATTTGCTTGCGATTGATGCGCCTTAGGCTGCTGGACTGGCCAAGCGTCGCGACAATCCTGCCACCTCTGTCAGGACTGGGAAGGAGTAGCTGGACGTCTTTCCGACATACCACACAGTCGCCACGCCATGTTTGCGCGACGTGAGTACTACGAGTGTTAGTTTTGCTCTTGGCATCTAAGGTCTCGAATTCGAGCTCACCTTCGTGACTGTAAAACATATTGTTGAAACCTAATGCATTGAATTGACAATCGTACTGGCGTAATGATACAGGCAGGAAATCGCGGCGTCTTGCGAGTAACACAACTTATTAAGACGGAAACGCTGTGGTAGACGGAAGAGAAGGAAAGAGCGATCCTCGAGGTGAGCGTAACGACCCTGGAAGAGCTTGGCAGCAGGCTCCGACGCACTTCTAGTACGCGTGGTGAGGTGAGGACGAAAGGGGACGAGAAATATTGAGATATGCCTCCGACACTGAACATGACACAACTCCTCTTGCGTATACATGCTGCATAGGAAAGGGTTTGCTGTACATGAACTGTAAGAGAAGATCCTAACAGAAACACACATCGTTATTGAAGTGCTCTCTTGACATACAGTTTTGTGAATACCTGCGGGATTAGTTGCTTCAAGCAAATACCAATACTGACATATGACACACTCTTGCTCAACAGCGTTGTGCCGGCACCAGCACGTCCATTGGATCAATAAGCTTCAATAACAAAGAGCTTAAGGTAAATGTCTAAGTCCTGGTATCATGGTCGTGAAAACGTGCACTTTGTCAATCTAATATCGTGTCTATTAATGCAAAGTCTTGAAGTCATGCCATCGTTACTTAAGCTCAGCGTACCATCTTGTTGCCTTTGCAGTTCGTACAACGCCGAATGCCATGCATTACATGCTGCGCCGATTCCGTTTACGCTTCGGCTTTCCTGTGGCCATCAGATGCCAGGCGTCAGGCATAAAGTAGAATGTCGAGTCAGCCTACGAGTCGCCCATCTGTACGTCCTCATCGATGACGGGTAGAGGAACGGCGCGGTAGAGGAGGATGAGAGCCGAATGGCTTTGGCCTAGAGCATGTTAGTAAATACTATCTCGAACGATCCGGGACACTTACCTCCACCAGACAAGGTCTGTATCCTCTCTGCATCAACCTCGGATACCTTCTCGTCGTTGAACCACCACCATTTTCCGTCCTCTGCCTTCCGCTTGCCAGTGTTAGGATCTTTGGCACCCTGCTTCTTGACAAAGGAGGTGTAGTGGCCACTGTCAGCGCTGGCGCCCTGATGCGTGATGACGCCCCTCAGTTCATAGAGACCAGTTTGGTTAGCGCCTTCGTCGGCACCCATCTTGGGATCTACGAGAGCGAGGAGCTCCTTCTTGGCAGCGAGGATGGATGCAGCACGTTCCGCCTCAACCTGAGCGTCAGTCTTGTACTCCACCTCCTCCATCTTGGTATCCTCAGCCGGCTTGCTAGCGTCCTCCTTCTTCTGCGCAGCATCCTTCTTCTTCTGCAGAGGCTCCTTGCGAGCAAGAGGATCACTGTCGTTCTCCTCACCAGCCCTCATACGCTTCTGTCGCTTGCGGGCACGCTCCACATCCTCCTCTTCCTTGCGAACTTCACGGATCTTGTCTCGGATGGGGATAAGCATCTTCCTTAGATCGTCTGTACAGAACTCCAACGCGTCCAACTCCTCAGGGAAAGTAACCTTGCGCATGATCTTCGCCTTCTTGTTGGTATCTTTCCGCCAGTCGAAACGCACAAAGTGAACGGGGAGGTGCTTCGGTAGACGGGCGATTTTGGATGTTTTGGTGTAAAGCGCGTTGCGGCCCAAGACGTCTGATCGCTTCTCAATCTGCTCCTTCAGGCCAGCAGCCAAACCGTCCCTCAAGTGGTTTGTCTCGACGTTGATGTGGCAATTGAGCTTGAAGAAGAGGTCCTCACTATGGACGGGCTCTTCGCCGCCCTCCTTTGCCGCAGGCTCATCGCACTCCATGACCGATTCAAACTTGCCCGCCATGTACTTGTCGATCCAAGAGATGTCCCTCTGCTTGTTTGCATCGGACCCTGTCTCGTTGTCGGTAATCTTCAGCTTTTGCCGCAACTGCGCAACTATCTGTGACCAAGCCTCCTCGGCATCCTGCTGTGCGTAGCCGTGGCCGTCCTTTGACTTCTGGGCGAACTGGGGGAATGCGGTTCGGAGAGCGTTGAGGAACATGAGTGGAGGGAACCCATTCTGTGTCTCGGACATCTGCTTGAAGAGGTCGCGGAGGGAGCCCGTAAGATCAGTCGAGGCACCAAGGCCACCGAGACCGAACTGGCTGAGCTGTGCGGCACTGGACGAGCTGGCGCAGTTGCTGGAAACAGTCAGTGGAAGCACATGCGGGCGATGAAAGGAGACGTACCTGTCCGAGTATCGCAGAAGCTCCTCTTGTAGCTCTGGAATAGAGCGTAGCGCCTGTAGGGTAGAGTTCATGTAGCAGGTGTTACCCAGGTTCTGCAGACCGGCGGGCGTGGCGCCCTCCAACTGCGCAGCTTCCGCCTCGTCCATGTCTTCGAGGAACTTGACAGGGACCTTTGGTTTTTCTATGACCATGCCCGAACCCGAGGGCGTGCCCATCATCATGAGGGTCTGGTTTGGCTTCAGGCCCAGCTTGGACATGTCGGCGTCATCCTTGAGTTGGCCGCCCTTGACGATGACCTTTTGGCGCTCTGGCTCGACACCGGTGATGGAGAAGAGTTGGTACTTGAATGTCTCGCCGGTCGAGGTGGTGTCGACGTCGACCTCGTGCTTCTTGCCCTGGTGCTTTACGATTACTACAAACGGTGTGGGTCAGTCGTGCCATGTTGCGAGTGGAGGTGCAGCGCTGGGCGTACCTGGTATAGTCGCCATGATGATGCTCTCAACTATACTGTGGATAGGGTATAGAAGACGGTAGGGGCGGCGAGGCGAGAGAGTGTTTATAATGCAGTCGTGGGGCAAAAGTTAATGGAAGCATGAGGAAGGACGGCCGCGCCAAGGTGAGCCGCCGCCCGGAGCTTCTACCCCACTAGCGCGACGAGCTGCAGGCACCGCCAACTCGCTGTACTGGCATGTCATAGCAGCCCGCTCTCCCCCGACGGCAGCCCTACCCTTCCAACATAGCATAGAGCTGGTGCTGAGCTCTATCCGCAATGGTATTATCCCGTCCTGCCGCTGCCCCTGCCGCTGCCGGCCAGTCGCATGCTCACGCTGACACTCGCAGTCGCAATCACTCCGCCCGTACCTCCAGTGCGTGCGCTCGTCGCTCACAGCCGCCCTCTCCCTCTCCAACTTTGCGTCCCAGGCCTCGGAACGCCACAATGTCCCCGAGATCGAGGCTGCGAGCTCGCCTGAAGTCATCCTGAACCCGCTTACCGTGTCGAGGAACGCCGAGGAACGCGTGTACATCGAGCCCAGTATCAACAGTGTGCGCATAAGCATCAAGATCAAGCAGGCAGACGAGATTGAACACATCCTGGTCCACAAGTTCACACGGTTCCTGACCCAAAGAGCCGAGTCCTTCTACATCATGCGGAGGAAGCCAGTCAAGGGCTACGACATCTCGTTCCTCATCACCAACTTCCACACCGAGGAGATGCTGAAGCACAAGCTGGTCGACTTCATCATCCAGTTCATGGAGGAGGTGGACAAGGAGATCTCAGAAATGAAGCTCTTCGTAAGCCAACCAAGGCCTACGTCTTTGGCCTGGAAGCTGACACATTTCTAGTTGAACGCAAGAGCACGTTTCGTGGCCGAGTCCTTCCTTACACCAGTACGTTGGACGCTAGAGACACCCGTGTACGCACGCTGACCAGAGCATAGTTTGATTGAGCGCATTAGTCATGACGGCGTTTGTATATATGGGCTTATTACGAATACTCGGGCGGACGCAGCTAGGACGGTCAAGGGCCAGAATCGATGCCTACGAACAAGCCATGTTGTGGAAAAGGTTGCAATCCAGGCTGAGCATTCGACCAGCATTCAATACAAATACGAACTTCCAATTCCATGCCGTCCTTGGCCCACACCGCCCATCGTTCCAACATAACTATAAACGCTACATGGATAAAAGTGGGCGACTGACGTGGCAGGACAACATCACATTTACGCTGCGTTTGTACACTGTCATTATTCTTGTTTGGGTATTTCGTCTACAGGGTGCTAGCTAGATCTGTTGACATGTGCAAAAGCCTCTCGACCACTGAGCTTGTAGCGCCTACAACTTGGCCAGAACGGCATCGGCACCAGAAACCTGTACATTGTTAGGAACAGACCATTACTCTCAGGACCACTAGATACTTACCGAAACCTCGCCGGGGCTCTTCTCGTTCTCGGCGTAGATGACCTTGCCGTGATCGAAGACCATAGCCCAGCGACCGTTGCGGTCGCCCATACCCGCAGGCCAACCGTACTCCTTGGAGAAAAAGGTCTTGGTATCGCTAAGGAAAAGGACATCGTCGTTCTTGACGCCATTGACCTTGCCCCAGGCGTTCATGACCCAGCTGTCGTTGCTTGCAATGGTAGCAATGATGTCAACGCCCTTCTCCTTGAACTCCTTGGCCTTTGCAATGTACGGAGGGAGATGGTATGCTTGGCAGCCTGGGGTGAAGGCGCCGGGAACGGAGAAGAGAACGACCTTCTTGTCCGCCCATTCCTTGCTGGCATCGTATTCTTGGGGACGACCGCAGACGGTAGGGTCGCTGTCGGTGATGGGTGCCCATCTGCACGGAGAAAATACAATGTCAGCATAAACCCCAAAAGCTTCGATGGTGAGCGGAGCTCGATACGACTGCACTTACTCGAACTTGACGCCCTCGGGGAGCTTGTCGCCAACTTGTAGAGGAGCCATTATGATTGATTGATTGGTGTTTTTGTGTAAAAGGTTATGTCGATTGAGGAGTTGGAAATTAAACGGCAGAGTGAGGTGAGGGAAAGTGACTTGTTATTGTGGACTACGCCGATTAGTTATTTGGAGGGGCACCCGCCTGCTTCCCAAGCTTGAAGCTTCGAGATCTCGTAGTGGGGCACAGCTCCGGCATGCGCCCGGCCGAGGCGTATGGCGTATGACGCCAGGTACCAGCCAACGCATTCTGACAATGCAGGGTATCTTTGACAAATCTTTTTGGCCTATTAGACAGGCGTCTGGGCGTGTACCTGACTGAGCAGATGGATAGGGCGCTGATGTTACGGACTCGATGCGACCTGTTGTGGTTGATGACATTTAGAAGCTTATTGATGAAAGCTATCTATTGGCACTCGCCAACCACACCCTGTTCTGTTCTCCAAGATTGGACACAGATGCTGGCATGTCTGGACCTCGGCGATTGGTCGGTGTACAACTGAGCGTCTCTATTGCTTCTTCCAGTTCCAGAATCTTCTTCCTCGGTAGAGCTTGTGTTTTCACTCGTCGGACCAACGTTCTACTCGCACTGGCTGTATGTCCTCTGATCCTCTTTAGGCGAGATCTCGGAGGTCTAAATGCTCGATGTCCATTTCGAAGTAACTGAGCTTCTTTCCACGGGGATGCATGTAAGCGCATGCCGAAGTGCCGATACGAGGCATCCATCGAGCGGCATCTCCTCACTCAGCACGACTCAACTTCACAGTGATCGTCTTTGTTGTTTTGATGATCTGCAATTGATTCTTTTTACAATCTGTCTGAATCTGTCTAGCTTTGCTCATTCCGAATATGTCACTCGTACCACCTTTTACTCAACAATCCGCCCATGCCAAGGTCAAGAAGGCACAGGACCTCTGGAATGGCCAGTATGCAGCATTGTGACCAACTACCTCATGCCTGCTAAGTATGCCAGGGATCCCAAGGCAATCGCACAAGCCTATACACCCGACTGTATTTGGCGCAATCGATCGTCTTTCCTCTCTGGTACGGCGGAGATTGAAAACTTCTTAACAAAGAAGTGGGAGAAGGAGAAGAATTACCAGCTGCGCAAAGAACTATTTGCCTTTACTGACAACAAAATCGCCGTGCAATTCTGGTATGAGTTCCAAGATGCCCATGACGGCATGAAGTGGAAGCGTTGCTATGGTCTCGAGGATTGGACATTTGCAGAAGACGGGAAGATGCGCAAGCGGCAGATGAGCGGTAACGATATCGAGATTGGTGAAACCCGTGAGTATTTCAAGCTTGCATGTATAGGCGGAAACATCGACTGAGATTCGCGTAGAACGATGGTTCAAGGACGGTGTGGATGTGAACGCAGTGGAGATTAGTGAGTCTCATTGGTAATTGAGGTTTTTGTTGTATTCAAATCAGAACGACTGGGTATCATAACGCTTGCGGGGATCGGGAAACATGTGCGATGAGTTGGTAGTATGGCCTATGCTGGAGGTGTATCGTGAATAGCGACGAGAATGAACTTGGGATCTGGAGACGTTAGCATAAGCCCCACCACTGCATGTGCGGGGAACATACCTGGCACGATGACCAGTTCGTTCTTCTTTGTCCGCAGTCGGAGAAGCTTGACCTCATCATCCTTGTCCAGCTCGTCTACGAGGCTCCCTGCTGCTGTCAAGAATGACCAGACCATGCTCGCAACGTCTTCAGCGCTGTGTATCCCACTTTCTTTCCTGCCGTTCGAGTAGTTGTCGGATGCAGCTTCCCCGGATGCCGGTAGAGTGCTGTTTGGATTCGCCGACGAGCTATTTGATATGAGGCCCGAAGTGCGTATTATGGTGCCGTTCTCGCGCGACAGAATCAGGGTGCTCTGAACGCCAGGCTTTTGGCTCAGTCGAGTGAGTAGCGAAAGTGTCTCGTCTGGCTATGCAGTCGTTAGTTTTCTGCTACTACAAGTACTGGCTAATACATACAGCGTTCTGAGCCATGTTGCATAACAGGTACAATGGAGACTAAGAGATGCAGTCGCTGTTTACAGATGCTAATAATGGCATGGTCGTACACCACCACGGCTAGACCCTGCCAAGAGCTACATGACCCATGCCTCTTTGGTATTAGCGGCATCTGTAGATCTTCAATTTTCCGCTCATCAGTAGGAAACGCGTCTTCAATCATTAACGCGAAGATTTTCGTTCACCTCCTCGACATTCCACACGCAAGGAGAAGGTCCTCGACTCAGAGGGTCGCGAACTTGATCTGCAGGGTTCCAATAGTCCGACATCATGACCGCCAGCTCAAAGAAGAAGAAGGAGAACAAGAAGAAAGACTTCCAGGTATGCATGTACAGGATCTCTATGAATTACAGAGCTGACCAAAACAGAAACCAAAATTGAAAGTCGGAAAAGCCAGACCCAAGGCAGCGAACAGCACTGATACCAGCTTCCGAGCCAAATGTGAGACTTACAACACTAAATTTCTCATTCTCAACTAACACATCGCAGCAATTTCTCTCAAGCAGCAAGCACTTTCTACCAGTGCTCCAAGTTTAGAAGCGCAATGCGCTCATCACCTGGGTCTACTAAATCACAAGTCAGATGCACAGCGGAAAGAATCCTTGGCCTTTTTAACATCAGCCATCACAAACAACCCACCTACAGCTCCATTACCGCAACCTTCGTCTGTCATCATTCCCGTGGCACAAAAGCTCATTTTGGACGGATCAAATAATGTTCGTCAGCAACTACTCAAGCTTCTGCAAAGTCTGCCACCAATCGATATCGCTAGCCACGCAGATCAGTTGCTACTGCACACAAGAGCTGCAATGACGCACTTAGCAACTGAAATCCGTGTATTTGGCCTCGAGGTGCTGGAATGGCTGCTTGTGGTCACAGGCGATGAAATTGTCAGTTGTGCTGGAGGGTGGGTGAAGATGCTCAAATGCTTCCTCACTTTGCTTGGTTGGCAAAGTGAAGCATCGAGCAAATGGTCGTCTGGAAAATCGTACGGAAAGGCCGATACGAAGATGCAAGTCAAGCAAATGAATGCGTTGACTTCTTTCCTCCGCACCGGGCTCTCTCATGCTCAGACAGCTGCTTCTATCGGCCTCAGCGACAACACTTTTCCGCTTTGGCATACGCAGCATCACGTGCTTTCCGAACGATCGAACGCCTACGCGCATCTGAACCTATTTGGTGCTGCCAGAGACGAAGAAGCAGAGATGTATGAAGACCGTGAAGATCGGCAAAGATTGTTTCGAGACCGAGCTGAGGCTGCAATCATCGCAGGTCTGGAGCAGGCAACCAAAGGTGGTGGGGAACTGGGCAGAGCGGGTGCGCAACTCCGAAAGGCTGTGAAAGAGGGCATGGCGGATTTCTACCGAGAAGAATCGACCGCTTAAGACCACGACTCGTTGCTCGACGCGCTTCAGTGAGTGGTGTGCCGTGGCTTGCCATGAAGTAGATGTGCGCAGCCATCGTTGTCCCTCGTTCTTGTGACCCGTCACAAGAGATCAGCTGAATCATCACCAGAATCGATACCGGATGAAGACTGGTGGTTCCTCCGTACCACGCCGCTTGCACCCCTGGTCAATAAGGGGGACAGACGGGAGGATGAGCGACTTCCCTACCAGCTTCATGCAATGTTGACCCAGCCATACCAAGCGACTACACCTGGTCCATGAGTAATCATATTGCACCAATAGTTAGTCCAATGACTCGGAGTCCGACCGACGAGTACCTGTCCTGCCAGCCTTGCGCATCACATTCTCCTCTACCACCGAGATAAAGAGTTCATTAACCAGTTCTGGCTGCCCCTGTCACCGGGGTCATACCCCTCACTTTGCGTCACCACTCGGATATCTCTTCGCTGCCAACGATGTCGTCTTCAATGTTAATGAACCCATCTCCACCGTTGTGGAAGAGGCATTGGGATCTTCGGACCTGATAAAATATCGAGCAAATTTGTGCACAGCGAGTTTGAAAGAAAGAGGCGCCTGAGAGCAGATCACGTAGAGGATCGAATTATGTGTATGCCATATGAGCATCCGGTCAATAACTATATTGAAAAAGGCGCCTCGCGTCCGGGCCTAATACAGACCATGGACATGGTAGCAGCAGAGTGCAGAATGCAGGAAGACAAGCAAGCAGTAACGACTGAGGCTACTGGCACGAGTATAGTTCCCCAAGAGGGCTGGATTGGAATTCCCCCGTTGCACCATCAGATGGAGCTATGGATCCCCGACACAGCTGAAGAACTCGCTCGCCAAACGGTGTCTTCGGCGGTGCACTTCCCAGAGACCCGACGACGCCATTGCCGCACAGCGTCGCCCAGGAACACCGATGTGTCATGGAAGAATATGCCTACTCACCTCGTCCCTTTTCTTCCTTACATTGAGAAGAGGAACCCAGAGGCAGACACTAGTGTGTTAGCTCAGGACGCTACGATTATGGATGTCGGCATCATCCAAACGTGGATAGATCGTTGCGAAAAACTACATGGAATACGCTGCCATGGTAGCAGAACCTCACAGATGCACTCGCCATTTCCGTCCTATTTGATTGATGTTGAGCGAGGGTGTTTGGTGGCGGCGCCCGAACGCCCACGTTATGTTGCCTTGAGCTATGTTTGGAGTGGGGCAGAGGCTTCAGCTTGCGCCACGATATCGAACCTGAAAGAGCTTCAAGAGCATAACGGACTCTACAACGGGATCATATCGCTACCTAGTCTTATCAGGGACGCCATCAATCTGATCAGGGATTTGGGGCTTCCTTATCTATGGGTGGATCGGATCACAATCATCCAAGACGATGACGCAACTAAACACCATCAACTAAGTGCCATGGGAGAGATATATGCAGGTTCACTCTTTACTTTAGTCGCAGCTCAGAACGAAGAAGCGAGCCTGAGTCTTTATGGACATCGTAGAATGGCGCTTGTTCATGGTGATTCTCCTTCAAAACAAGAGAAGAAAAGGGCAGACGGACAACATCTAGATTGCGCAAAATATATGCTTGATCAAGCGATATCACTCATGCAAACCAAGTGGTATTCGCGAGGCTGGACTTTTCAGGAATACATATTCTCTACACGAAGGGCCATCTTCCAAAGCGATACAGTCAATTGGGAATGTCTATGTGCTTCCTGGCATGAGTGCCAGGATATATCCCGACTTACACTCGCTCCTTCACACACCCCAACACCAAACTCTCATGCTTCTGCAACTGAAATGGATGTACCTGTTGCTGGTCTCAATGATTCACCTTGGCCAGATATGATTCGATACACAAGGCTCATGACTCTATTCAATGAACGGGACTTGACCTTCCCGGAAGATGTTCTTGATGCGTTCGCCAGTTGTCTGGCACATTTGAGCAGCGTGTTCCCAGGAGGTTTCATATCTGGTCTACCAACAATGTGTTTTGACGCCGCGCTATTGTGGCAACCATGGGCATTCCTAAAGAGGCGAAAACCGCGAAGACTGTCTGCTGGCGAAACAATCTTACCTTCATGGTCTTGGGCAGGATGGGAAGGCATTATCAACTTAGAGAGCTGGAAAAGTGCTGCCAATTACCAATTCGAGTATTGGCCTCTCTCAGATATACCACAATACACTTCCTGGCGGACCATCAGTACTATTCAATGGACGTATTCAAAAACGCTGACGTCGGAGCGTTCTCTGATCACTATGCCTTTGCAATTTAGGCGGCCAGCGTTCACCAAACCGGGAGATAGCCTCCCTCCAGGATGGACCTTGTCTACAAGCTTGGGAGAGGACGGATATGTAGTTCGACATTCGTGTGACCCTTCCGTACCCTTTCGCTTCCCCATCCCAATTTTGGACCAGACAAGCCCCCGGCAACCTGTGGTAAACGCTCGGTTTCTACATTGTATTACGAAACACGCCTTCCTTATACTGGGCAAAGAATTCCTCAACACGACGTCAGGCTGTCCTTCCATACAACTTCTTACAGATTCTGGTCGTTGGGCTGGATGTCTCCGACTCAATTTTATACCTTCGCATGCGCGTGACGAAACTTCAACCTCGTCAGCCCCAGCCCTAAAACACCGTTCTCGGGATACCTCTAAATCTCTTCCGAGCTTCTCATTTACTACACCCTTGCACACTGAAGTCGCGGATGCGCTTTACGACCCGGCTCGGATGGGAGATGAGCTATGTGAGCTTATTGAGATATCTGCTGGTTCGGTCGAAGATTGGGAAATCGATGCTCGAAGCTTTGACGAATGGTACCAAGAAGATTGCGGCTGGAAGCAAGGGCTGTACGAGTTCGTCAATGTACTCTGGGTAAGACGGGTGGAAGGAGCTGCATATCGCAAAGCGCTTGGAAGAGTGAGGAAGGACGTTTGGGAGAGCGAGGCAAAGGATAAGGTAGAAATTACACTTGGGTGAGACGCCAATGTGGGTGTGATCACGAAAGGGTCCTGTCAGTGCGAATGGCTTATTGTCTTTGTTCAAGATTGTATTGGCCTATGGTTTCGCGCTATCAGCCTGTTAAGATGCCCGCGCGGTCGAATGAGGTTCAAGATTGGGTATAAGTTAGATTAGCTACATGAAACTTCTATCGGCTAGGTCCAACATCGTTTGCGACTGGATACCTTGTTCTACTCTGCAGCGATTCCTTCAGGACGTAAGATGGCGTACTAGTCGTTTTGCGACGGTCTGACTATTCTTCAGGTGCAATCCAGCAGTTCAGGAAGTACGCATCGACACTGCCATTGGGCCATTCATGAGAAGGAGCTGCAAGGCAAGGTACTATGGAAAAGCGGTCCTAATTAACGCGGTGTTGGGCTGCACGTCTTGATTGACGTCACGGGCGGACGCGGGCTGGGATGGCGGGATGGCGGGACGCGACTTGCCACGGGCGAAACATTGTTGATACTCCCGAAAATAGTCGATGTGCTGGCCACATTGATACACATAACCCTACGCACGCCTCACGCCTCCTCTTCTGCATTTATCCTACCTGCGATAAATTTCATCCTCCTTTTCCATTGTTCAATCGCGGCTGTGGATATTTGTACACCTGATCAACAACGAAATCATGTCGATAGTATCGCAGACCCTGCAGGGCGCAGTGCTCAGCATAACTTCGAATGTGCTTGCGCAAGCCATATCGTCGTATCAAGACGGCGTACGCACAGTTGCGCAATTTGTGATTCTTTGGTGCCTGTAGCTGACACGTGCCCAGACGCCTTTTGCGCTCAATTATGCCACAGTCTTCAAGTTCGCGCTCTTCAGCGTACTCAGCACCCCGCCAAACATTGTCTGGCAAGGCTACCTAGAAGAGCAATTTCCTACCAATGTGCCCTCTGCTGCTCCACCGTCCGAGAAGCCAGGCTCGAAATCCGATCCCGCCAAGACGTCCCTCAACAAGACCAACGTCCTGATCAAGTTCCTGCTTGATCAGACCATCGGCGCAGTCGTCAATACACTCATGTTCTTGGCATATATGGGTTATGTCAATGCGCAGGGGAAATCTGGCGTCAACGCCATGGACGTGGTTACGAGCGACTGCGCGAACAAGCTATGGCCAATGATGAAGGACGGATACAAGTTTTGGCCTGCGATAAGCCTTATCAGCTTCTTGTGGGTGCCAGTAGACAAGAGGGTCCTCTTTGGCTGCTCTGTGGGTGTCGTGTGGGGCATATACTTGAGTCTGGCAGTGGGCGCATAGATGCGTGGGCGAAACAAGCGACGCGCTGTGGTCGTGGGCGTCTTGAGCGCGACATGTCCCTTCGGTGCAGCTGTTACTTCAGAGTGCTGAGGGCGCTGATGCGCTCAAATTACGAAAGAATAAAGGTTCGGTTTCACTGATCTGTATCTCTCAACAGAAAAACCTATTTCACAACCTAGAGGTATTCGCTATTTGTTACATGATCCTGTCGTCATCTTGAGACACGACGAATGCCTGTAAGGTGCTTTCGGTGGTAGATACAACTGTCGAAAAATCGAGCCTTTTCGTGCTGAGTGGCTCATCCAATCGCCGGTTCTCAGCCGTCAATCTTTTCCACAAGTACCCACACAAGACCAACAATCACCATATCTGTCTTATGGTTCGAAGGAAACATGTTCTCTTTACTGTGGAGCCTGGCGAACGGGATCTACTCGTACCAAGGGACTCGGTCGCTCTGTCGCGTAATTGGATTGGACCCCCCATTGAACATTCAGTCAGGCTTACGCTATGCGAACATGCGCTCTGTAAGTACATTGAAATACTGTCTACTGGCCACAGGGTTCCCGATGCGTACACGTGTGGTAAGTTTCGTATTAGGCGAATATCGAATTTGCCTGCTACAAAAAGTCTACTACTTTACATTATTCTCTCCTCCTATACTATAACACCAGCACATTATGCAGAACCTCACAGAAACCCCTGACATCATCACCCCTGTAGCCCGCTCGGGGGGCCCTTCAGAGAAAGTCCACAAATCCAAAAGCACCAACAGCAGGCAAGCCTTCAAGGGCAAGCAAGCCACAGGCTCTGGCTTCCATTACGGACCCGTACCAGGTCAGTATTTCCGCTCACGACGGGTTAAGCCCGAAGATGTGCAGATGCCGTGGCTCGACAAGCCGCACCCCAGGCAGAAATGGGGTACAATCCTTCCTCTCATCGGGCTTGGACTCGGTTTTATGGTAGTGGCTATCATGATCTGGGACGGCTTCAGAGTCATAGGCAGGCACAAATACTGCGAGATCTACCATGACAATTTCACCACGCTGAACGAGAACGTCTGGACTAAGGAAGTCGAGCTGGGCGGCTATGGGTATGTTGCCTCGAACCATTGTTACACCTGGACTGATTGATGTTTGTAGCAACGGCCAATTCGAGATGACTACAGGTACAGACGAGAACGTTTTCATCAAGAACGGCGAGCTCGTTATAAAGCCAACAATCCAGGACGAAACATTCATCGGCAGCAACTACATCATCGATCTCCGTGGACAGGGATGCACTGGCTCCGACTGGACCGACTGCGTTGCCACTACCAACACAACTAACGGTACAATTGTCAATCCTGTCAAATCTGGCCGAATCAATACCAAACTTGGTGCTTCAATCAAGTACGGCCGCGTCGAAGTCGTCGCCAAGATGCCCACTGGTGACTGGCTGTGGCCCGCCATCTGGATGTTGCCCAAGGATAACGTATACGGCGCCTGGCCTCGTTCTGGTGAGATCGATATCGCGGAGTCCCGCGGCAATGCTCCAGGTTATGCGCAAGGCGGCAACAACGTCGTCTCGAGCACGCTGCACTTCGGCCCCGACGCCAACCACAATGGTTGGTGGCGCAACAATGTCAAGCGCCAGGCGCTGCACACTACATATGCAGCCGACTACAACACCTTTGGTGTTGAGGTAATACCCCTACTTTCCTTTACATGTTATCGTGCGCGACAGTATTGACCATGCATTTAGTGGAGCGAGAAGTACATCTTCACTTATATCAATACACGCCTCCTACAAGTCATGTACACGCATTTTGATGAGCCGTTTTTCAAGTACGGTAATTTCCCTCAAGCCGATGCCAACGGCACCCGCCTTGAGAATCCATGGAAGCACACCAAAGGCAACACAGCTCCTTTTGACCAGGAGTTCTATCTTGTCATGAACCTTGCTGTTGGCTCAACAAATGGCTGGTTTGAGGATGGCAAGAGCGGCAAGCCATGGATTGACAGGAGCCCTCGGGCAAAGCTCGACTTTTGGGAAGCTAAGGACCAGTGGCTGCCTACGTGGAAGGACGATGGGCAGATGAAGGTTAAGAGCGTTACGATGTGGCAGCAAAGTGGGCACAAAGGCTGCAAGGCTTGATAAATGGGTGCACCATCTTTGGATTGACGGGCTTCATTCGTCAGATGCGAAAGTACTGTTAAGCACAAGCCCGTAGAAGGATGCTCATTCGTTTTGAGTAGTGCTACCCAATGGAATAACCTATCCCTAAGGTATGCGCCACATCTCCTTCAGTAGGATCATGACTCAGAAGGAAAAAAGGCGAACAACTCCGGGATCCTTTTTTGAGTGGATATTAGAAGAAACGAGCTCCCACGTCCGGACTTGCAGATGACTATTGAAGATGGTTTCTAGGCTGGACTTCAGTTTGGCGAAATCGCTTGTACAGAATGAGATTAGTGCAACGTAACCGCAACCTATGTTCAACGCTCCTTGAACGTACTGAATGTAGTTTCTATTGATACACGCATGACAAAAAGGCTGATGCATACCCTCTGTGGTACCTCGCGGTTGTACAACACGAATGGTCCGTAAACCTACAGGCTAGTGTTCAGTCGGGAAGGTGGGATGGCCGCCGGCTTGCCATTTCGGGTTATCATGATCAAGCAACCCACTTTTTCACTCCTGACGCCTATCTTCAAGCGCCGTGTCCGATGTTCGCATTCCGATACGTTGTGACTAAGCCCGTAATTCTCCGACATATATGCGTTTCGAGTCGTGGCCGAGCTGCTTTCACAATTTACCACCAACAACGTTCTGCATACCATCGGTCCTACCAGCGCCTCGTACACAACACGACCATGCCGTACTCTCCTAAGGTGGGTGACTCACTGGACTCGCTAGACACGCCATCCATGATCGTGGACTTGGACCTCATGGAGACCAACTTAAGTAAACTCATGAAACAACTGCTCCCTACTGGTGTCAATATCCGTCCACACCTCAAGACCACAAAATCTGCCATCATTGCGAAGAAGATGGTCGCAGCGGGTGCAAAAGGTGGATGCGTGGCGAAACTCAGCGAGGCGGAAGTCATGTGTGAGAAGGGTTTCACAGATCTGCTGGTTACATGTGAGATTATTGGTCCTGCGAAGGTGAAGAGGTTAGTGGAATTGGTCAAGAAGTACAAGGATGTAAGAATAGTTGTCGACAGCAAAGAGGGCGCGAGCGCCATTGAACAAGCACTATCAGAAAGCGATTTCGAGGGCACAGTTATGACGCTCATCGATCTCGATGTGGGATTGCATCGTACAGGCGTGCAACCCGGGGGACCAGCTTCGGAACTAGCTCGTTTTGTCACCAGCTCAAAGCATCTCAGACTCATCGGCGTACAAGGGTACGAAGGCCACCTGCAACATGTCCATGGTCTCGAAGAGCGCAAAAGCCAGTGTCTTGAGAGCATGAAGATCCTCACGTCTACTGCCGATGCGCTAAGAAAAGAAGGTCATGCCATCGATGTAGTAACAACCGGTGGAACTGGGACTGCAGAGTTCTGTGTCACCGTCCCTGGAATCACCGAGGTACAGCCTGGTTCTTTCCTCTTCATGGACACGGATTATCGCAACGCCGTTGGTTCTACGAACTACGCTCAGAGCTTGACCATCCTC